TTGATTTTGTTTCAATTTTTTTCTTCTCAGTTTTTGCTTTTATTTCTTGCAATTTTTCTTGATTACATTTCTTTCTAAACTCAAACCTCTCTCTCTCCTTGCCTCTTGAAGGATGATGATAAAACTTGATTCTTTGATTGTTCCCATAAAGATGCTGAAGAAGCAAGAAGCACATTTTGATTATGATGATTATGAAGCTTGATTTTTTTTTTTTTCGATTTTAGCTATGCTGGGTTTTGATTTTTTTTTTTTTCTGATTTTAGCTGTTCTGGGTTCTACAGAACCCAGCTTCTACAGATCTGCAAAGGTAAGGAAAAAAAAAGTTGGAGGTAGGAGGGTTTTGTGAGGAACCCAGTTGCTAGGTTCCATCACCCATCTTCTGGGTTCTGTAGATCTACAGAGGTAAAAAAAAAGCCGAAGGTAGGAGGGTTCTGCAAGGAACCCAGTTGCTGGGTTCCACGACCCAACTTCTAGGTTCTGCAGAACCCAACTTCTGCAGATTTGCAGAGGTAAAAAAAAAAAAGAAGCCGGAGATAAGAGGGTTCTGCGAGGAACCCGGTTGCTGGGTTCCACTACCTAGCTTTTGGGTTCTGCAGAACCTAGCTTCTGCAGATCTATAGAGGTAAAAAAAAAAAAAGCCAGAGGTAGGAGAGGATAAGGTAGAAAGGGGAAGAAGATGGGGGAAGAAGATGGGGGAAGAAGATGGGGTTAAAAAGGAGTTGAATTTTAAATTTTAAGGGCCAACAAGGATATTTTTTCAATACATGAACTAAAAAATGACTTTTTCCTATAGTAGAGGGACAAAAAAGATATTTGACCATTAAAATTGATAATTTTAATCATTGAATAAAGTGTATAGAGTTTGGTGGGAAGAATTGTATTTTAAATTTCAACAACAACATGTATGTTGCTAATGAGTGATGGATTTAAAATTTAAAAGGCGGTAAACTTTCAGCAACATGGGTTATGTTGCTGAAAGTTGCTAAAAATTCTATATATTCCCCCATTCCTCCCATGCATTTTGCAGAACTTCTCCCCTACTTCTCCTGCTCAATTCCATCTCCTTATCCATCCCCCATCCTTTTTTATTTTTTGTAGCACATAGACGTCCTCCATATAATTGTTCACCCATTTTTATCCATTATATAATATGTTAATTGTACTTATTTTTTCTTATCATTAAATTCTCATATATATCACTAATTGAATAAATTCCATTAATTCTCAAATATGTTTATAAATATTATATTATTAAGTATGTATCAATTTATTTGAAAGTTAATATATTTATAAATAATTTATATATAATAACTAACAATTTTGTTATT